CCCCAAAACCCCAAAACCCCAAAACCCCAAAACCCCAAAACCCCAAAACCCCGGGTTCTAAATTTTGGATTGAATTAGCTATTATGTCTAATTAGCTAACTAAGAGGTTAGAGAAGATTGGCCTGTTCTTAGATATTCTTTATGAATTCTCCAGATAAACTTGCTATGTGGAGGGTTCTAAATAGCTAAGGTTAAAAGAAAAAAGCTTAGACAATACAGATATTAGTTTTATCATATACCTTGGTCTGAGGATTTGCTACCTTCTTTGAAGGATTATCGTTACTGATGAGTGTGAATTCGAAAGGTTCTCCAAAGGTTATATAGTTCATAGTGTGCATCGCAAATGTGTAGGTTAATTTTCCACTGAATTTGGGTAATTGAAGAACTACTTCAATTGAGGTCGAGCTTCCAGGCTTTACTTTAGCATCAAAAACAGGGTTGAATTTTATTAGCTCTTTGAAGTCTGCAGAATTTACTAGGGGGTCAGAGCATTTTAGCAGATAGATCATAAAAGCTGATGGCCATTCTTGACTTCCAGTATTTTTAACAGTGAAATTAATGCAAATACTCTCTTGATTTGGCTTGAGGGTATGGTCAGTTTTAGGCTTAGAATGAATTATTTTACCATCATAGTCAGTGACTGTTTTAATTTTATTCTGAATTGGAGGTATCAATGAATCTTTGTCTGTGATTAGGACATCAGATGAGTCATCCAAATCAATAGCAACTTCACTTCTATTAGCTTTTATATGCTTATATGTATCTTTTAAGTTTAGCACGAAGCTCATGAAATCATTATGAGAATTAAATTTGATCATAGGATGGCATTGATGCTTAGTTTTATTACATTTATGACATAAGTCATAGTCATCACAAATAAGTCAATTGAATCTTGGGCCGACAATAGGCCTCATCTCTCAGCCATCACATAAAAAACTTTGATGAATGCTCTCGTCCCCTCAAATAAATCTTCTAGACTCATTTATTGGAGTTGACTTTCTTTCTTCTAATTGGTTGGTTTTTGAGACATTTTGGATAGTATTTATAGATTTCACCCTAGGTTTCTGACAATTGTCTATTATCTCCAAATCATCTTCTTTTAATTTTTTCTCGGCATTCTGCTTTTCAATTCAGTGGGAATTCGTTATTCATTTTTCAAAAACTGTATTGACGTTCTCTTGTTTGGCTTCAATTTTGCCAACGACAGAGGTATCGGGGATAGGCTTTGTGGCCCCATGGACTTCGCTCTGATTGATGACTGAGTACTCCACGCCTGTGTTGTCTTCGAAGATGTAGAACTTCACACAGGCGCTGCCAGAAGAGTCAAAGTCTTCGATGGCGATCAGAAAAGAGTCCTGGCCGTCGATGGTAATCAGGTCTTCATCATCTTTGTACTTGATGCTGAAGGAGTCAGGCTGCAGCCCAAACATCTGACAGATTGTATCATGGAGTTCATTGAAACTGTGGGCAGAAGATATTTTCCTGGTTTCTCCATTGAAAGAGAGCTTTACTTTGATAGGTTCTCGAGAAGTCTTTGACATTTTTATTAGTTATAATATTTCACCCAATCTTTTTAAACTTTAAAGGGGTTTTGGGGTTTTGGGGTTTTGGGGTTTTGGGG